ACAGCTATTTAACTTTTCACTACTATATTTTCTTTGTTAATATTACTAATGAGTTTTGCTTAATACATTCTACAAATTACCTTATATCGACTACATACTAATTTTACACTTTTTAGCGAACATTTCAATTTTTTTTTTCCAATCTTAGAAATTTTATATTCTTAACAATTTCCATCGACTATGATTCAATAGGTGTCTAGAAACATCAGATGTTTTAGAGAATTTTTTTTTAAATTGGTATAATTTTACCTATGGCAAATTTTAATAATTGATGTGAACAGATTTTTTATAGTCTGAAGGTTTCTATTATAAAAATAATTAATGAAAATAACTAAGGCCAGTATTTTAAAGTAGCAAAAAACATATTGAACATACTGAAGATAAAATATTGAAGCGTAAATGCATATATTGAACAAGGATTTTTTTCTATTTCATATTAAAGGACGTTTTCATTTGCCATATTTTCATATTATTTTAAAAGTTATTTCAACTTCTGCCACCAATATAAACTAGATAATTTCAGCATGAGTGTGTTTATAATTGACAAACATATACATTTCAAAATAGCTTTCTATGAACTGAACCATTTGTCAGTTAATGCATATTTATTTACAGTATAGAAACTTAGCACACTTACAGATGTTGAAGGACCATTTTAGAAAAACTTATTTTTATTAACTGCCTTAAGCTACGAGACTCAGTCATTTAATTTTAAAGAAAAAGTCAATGCTTTTGAAATTTTAATTGTATCTATAGACGAGTCAAACTATTAGTACTTCGACGTCTACATTCTTGATTGGGAAATTTACAACTAATTTTACCATATGAAGCATAGTTAGTAAAAGCTAGAAATATAATTAACACCATACCAAACATTAAATGAGATAAACATTAACATATAGCCCAATTAAAAATTAAACTAAATTATTTGAAATATGCATACAATATGTGAATTTTTCAACTTCATAAAGTTGAACTTCACACTTCACACAAACTTCGTAAAGTTATTGTTTTGTTTCCGAAAAAAAAGTAAATAAAGTTTGCTTGTGTAAGATGAAACACAAGAAATCGAGAAGATTGGATATCATAAAAAAGGGTACGTTCCTAAACTCAGCGCTAATTCCATCGATGGATTTCATCAATCGATTAAATTCAGCACCGATGAACAGCGATTTATGTTCAGTTTAGGAACGACTTGATGGTTTCCAACGGAAGGTTAATATTCCTGAAAGGTTACTAAACACTCGGAAAATAAAAAAAATGTTTAAAGAAATACCTACCAACTGCATTGTTGAAAACAGAAAACAATAGGGTAATAAATTGCTAAACTCAGCCCTCAGCTCATCGATTGCGTCGTTTCGTCCAGTTTAGAGACGGATCCGATACCCTAGATGAGCTCAGTGCTTATTTTAGGAACTTACCTATATAGACAGTAAGTAAACAGTTAAAAATGAATAGTTATTTAAAATATAACAACACTGAGATTTCATCCAGAGGATCGATCTATCAACCTAAAAAACCGATGGAACCGCTGACTAATTGGTGATTCAATTGATGAATGAATGAACGCACTGAATTCCATCGATTAGTTTAAGAACTTTCCCAAATATTTAAGTTTGTTCGAAATAATATTTTCTAAATTTCCTAAAAATATTTTAGAGTTTAGCCAAATTCTGTTAAATATTAATTATATTTAAAGTCTATGGTAACATGGTTTATGTTCCTTTCGTTAAAAATATAAATATGTTGGAAATTTTCATTTCTCATAGAATTGGTAATGAATAGTTAATGTTTTTATTTTTAAAATGTATAGAACAGAAAATGTGTCGGTAACCTAATAGAAGTTTACAACGAATAGCTGTATCTCTCCTAAGAAGATTCATCCTGAATCCCTCCATGGAACGGAATTCATTTAGGTCACCTAAAGATGTTCGGATTATGGATTACAAATAATTGAAAGTTAATAACGTATTTTGGTCAACTAAATATAAAACCATGAAAATTACGTTTTCTCATATTACGTTGTCGGAGATTCAATAATGGGGAGGAGCCTTTTTCCATATTATTTCAGAATGTTAACAAAGAGTTAACAATCGTCTGAACAATCGTTAACAATCGTCCAAGTTATATATTTTAGACCGTACTACATCAACTTAGATAATTGAATCAAACGAATCTAGGTTTGCAAACAACCAATCTTTCCGTGATACAAAGCAGGAAATTGACAACTTCCTCAGACTCAAAACACGAGTGTTAGGTTTTATAGAATATTTCTTACTAATATTTTCTAGAGAAATATCTGGATATTACGAGGATTTTGCTTTTTTCATTAATTTAATATAGTTAGATATTTAAAACCAAAATTTGAAAAAAAGTTTTGGTTTTAAATCTACTACTCAAGATAGGAATAGCTCTTTTGAGATCTTAGTTTTCTCGTAAACAAAAAAAAAAAAAAAAGGCCAAATCCTTAAAATCCGGACCCTAATGATAATACATATTTTAAAAAATAATATACTACAGTGTAGTAATTACACAATATAATTAATTAGACTAAACATTATTACTTATTATTTTATTATGTCTACTAAGCAAGTATACATTGGAGCAAAATGTGATAAAACAGCACCCTCAGAATAGAAATGAGGAAATGAAATCATGCATGAATCATTTGTAAAACCCGTCAAAAGATATACTGTACAAGAATAACAGATACACCCCAATAAATAATTTTGTAAGAACCATAATGAAATAAAATCAGAATTCTTCATCATACAAACAAACAACAATTTAAAAAATTAAATCTCAAACACCCGATAGCGATTTTCGAAGATTACTCATTTCTTAACGATATTACTAAATAATTGAGAAATTGTAGCACGATCGCTTCTTTGACGTAAAGTCAAGAGCAGGTAACAGCTGTTCAATCAGAAAATGAAAATTCCGATAGTGAAAACTTGATTATTAGTTCATTAATTTTCATTAGGAAATCTTTATTTGAAGTTTTTTTTTTTAACATAATAAGAAGATATTTCAAAATAATAAATAAGAAACGTCCTTGGTTCGGATCATGTACGTGATCCTAAACCACTAGTTAACTCCAATAATTCATTTTAATTGGTTTTGTCTATTTTCCTTCTCACCCACTGCATTTCGATGTAAAAGATCTTAGGTGTTCCACTTTTTAAAAATAAAATTCCAATTTTTTTTTGTACGACCTTTTTTGATTTAATTAATTTATAGGAAATGTCTCACAAATTTTCTTTGCCAATTTATTTACCGCAACACATTGACACTAAATACCTAAAAAACAGTTAGGTTTGGACAGATGATGGAAGTAGTAAGAAAGAAATTGGTGGTTTCGACATCGAATCTTAGGGTTCTCTAATTAATGATAATAATTATAAAGATAATGTAACAAGTTTGTTTTTAAACGTTGATACCTACCATATTTACTATATATATATCCAGATATTAACTAATGAATCTGATTCAGAAAGTTATTTGAATTGGGAGTTGGAGGGAACAAGAGCTAATTCAATGAAGTTGTTCCGCCCCAACGCCCATGCAGCCCCACTCCAATAAAAAATCTGTATCTAAATGCCCGCCAATATGATGGTTAATGAACAAAGAAGAGATAAATCATATCCTTACATTAACCTCTCATATAATTTATATATCTTGAAAGAAATTAAATTTTACAATAATGTGTAAAACAATATTGAACTGCCAATGATCAGTGGGGTAGAGACGACCTTGATAATAAGTTAATTTATAAGTAATATAAATTAATATGCTAATAACAATAACTCTCTTTGGTATTTTTCATGCTTGGTGAGCACAGCTCTCCTTCCAACGATTGACATAGCATTTACGAAGGATTGAATATTGTATATAATAAATAGCAGATTAAGTAGAAAACAAGTATATATTTAAATGATCGACCTAAAATACTAACTATGTATGTGAGAAACTATCTATTGTAATAAAACTTTTAAAAAATCCATCTCAACTGAGAGATTGAGCATTGGTTTTTAAAGCACAAGAAATGGGAATTGTTCTGAATACGGCAAAAAATAAATCTGTAAAACCATTTAGCAACACATCGTGCTTAAGAAACCTTTAAATAAGAAACAAACATACCTCATTTTTTCCAAAATGTCATGACAAATGGTGTATAAAAAAAAGTAAAATATGAACAAAAAAAATCACATACAATCACGCCACTTTCCCGGTTAAAAACTAAAGGTTTCCAGCGCCATCTAATGAATTTTTAAATTATTTGGCGGAAGTCAAATATTTTGTGATTAATACTTATAAACAAATATATTAAATCTTATTCTAGAAAAACCTTATCAAGTATAACTATGTTTAATCAATTAATCGAAAAACATCGTTAGAATTATACTACTGTCAGAAACTAACTATTTAAAGAAATTATAATATAATACAATCATGAAAATAAAAGAACTTTATCATAATGCATTTAATAAATATTTAGGAAGCTATAAGAATATACATAAAATGGGTTTTAGGTAAATAAATTATTGGATTTTTGTATATTCATAAAATATTAAATATAACACGGCTTCAAAATTGCTCAATAAGCTGCTTAGTGAATAAAAGTGTTATTTATAGCTTAATGAAATACAATTAATTAATATGTTTAATCAAAAGCCTGTAAAATAGAAAAAGGTACCGACTGTCTCATTTGAAAAAAAGCGGCAGCTAGAGTTGTCCCCTTGATGAGCTGGGTGGCTCTCGTAATGGGCACATATGAAGTTCGGTTCAAACGTGTTTTGGAATCCAAGATGGTTGTTAAGTTAGCCTTTTGAATACTGAAGAGATGGTCGCTAAGGAGGATCTGTGTGAAATGTCGGTTGTGCGTGAAAGTATCTCTCATACATAATGTTTTTAAGCTATACAATGCACTATTTTTGCCCAAGTAATCTAGGGAAGGTTTTGTCCTTTTCTATTTCAATGGAATACTTTTGATAAATTTTATGAATCATGTGGTAGATTAAACATCAACTATGAATTCTCACGTTGTGATGAATGGTACATTGGACAAAGTGACAGAAGTATCTGTTAGTGATAGGAAACCTATTGTAACCTGTAAGTATACAATACATCACTGTTATCCTCTGGTTCAGTTTCTGTTTTAAATTTAAATTTTCCATCTAATTTACTTTAAAACATAATTCCAGATGCTGGAGATAAAGAACTGTTTCTTGGTTTGGAGCCTACTTTGTGTTCCTCTTTACCACAAGAGGCCGCAGAGTGGCGCAGAACCTATGGCCGAGCAATAAAATCTGTTAATGTTTCTGCTACGTTTGTTCCATTTACAAAGGATGTTCTTCCTAAAGAAGGAGATTACCATCTTATCGATCAACCTATGTTTCATACTTATTGGACTCAATGTTCAGTATGTATATTTCAAATTAAGTTTTCTAATGTTTATAGTTAACATTTATCTAATTTGAAGATATCGCTGCTGTTGGTTACTTTAAAGTAGGTTGAGCTTGAAAAATTGTTGATAAGTGATAAAGGATAACTATATCAAATTTCTCTTTTATTATTTTATTTCATATTCAAATTATGTTCCAAATTAAACATTTTGTATTTCCTATCACATTTTAGTTGACAGTCTGTTCTTTTGTTAATTAAATTATAGTTTCATATTATTAAGAGTACATAGAGGTTTGATGATATCCACTTTGGATAGTCATAGAATCCAGTACTACCTAATTGTACGCTGTTTCGTTCCATTGCCATTGTTTAAAAACCTCTTATTTTATTATATTAATTATCGTTGTTACTTTTACATAAGAATTGGCTTAAATTAAAAAAATTAGTGCTTTTTGTCTTCATCTTCTATTTGTTTGTTGAACTGTCAATAGTTTTGAATTGAGCGTATTTTTTAAAATATTCGAATTATGATATTTTTCTTTATTTTCATGTTGTTGAAAAATGTAATCATTAATTCTTTATTTGATTTTTTTTTTATTACTCCAATTAACTGAATATTCCTTTATGATATAAACTCAGCTATTGAACTTTACTAATGTATTTGACCCCACGTTGAAACGAGTTCTATTAGTCTATTCTGCAATCACATTTTTACATCTGCATTGGATTCTATAAGTTGTAATGAATTGAAAAAAAAAGAAAAGGCATAATACAGAAATAAAATGTTGTAATAATTACAATTAGTACATTCAATACAATTTCAATTAGTGAATTCAATTTTTTTTTAAAAAAGGGAATATTTAAATATGATTTGTTCATTCTCATTTATTCATATTACATGGTAGGCTGAGGCTGCACTTTAATGAAAATACTATAAAAGTAATTTTACATATTGTGAAAAAAAAAAATTGTGTTTCTTTCTCTGCAGACTACATGATTGTTCATGTATTAATTTTAAAACAGTATATTTTCTTTTTTTAGGATGTGGAATATTATAAATCAAATGTTCGTGAAGATATTGAACTGTGGATGAGTGTTTTGCAACAGTTCAAATTATCTGAATGGATGATAGTGGTTGTAGAAACATATGATTTCCGCAAATCAAATAAACTCCTCCCAAGAACTACAGTTTATGACAAAATTAAAAGCGATTTTGGCGCTAAGCATGCTGATAGGTAACTTATATTATTATTTATTCATAAATTGAATCTGTTAATATTTGACTAATATATTAGTTTTAATAGTTTTGTGTCACACTGCGATTGAACTTAGCTTTATTTAAGAAATAAAATAATGATGAATTTCAGCTTACATTAAGAAGCTAAGAAAAAATAGATATTTAAATATTTCCATTATCAAATCAAACTGAAGAGACTAGTGATTTTTATAATGTGTTTAAAATAAAAAGATTAATTTTGTTTTGAACTTTCTATTAACAATTAAAACAAATATTCTATGTTCAGGTGTCTATCTGTCATAAATCCTTTAAGATCTGAATCACGCTCTGCTGGTTCTTGGCGAGGTTTAGTTGTCAATACAAGGCTTCTCCTCCTTGCTGCATTTGATAGAATTTTGTTAAAATTTGAAGAAACATTACGTGAACAACGAGACAGAAGAAATCAAGTCGGATGGAGTTTTACAAAATACTTTTTATTACAAGTTAGTATATGATATGTTTAAATTTTGATTTAATCAATGCAACAATTTTACGTATTTTAATTATATTCAAAAGTCTCGTAAATTTTACACTTATTATTTAAGTTTTAATTATTCATTTGTCGTTTGTAGCTGCTAACCATTTTTAAGATCTTCCTTTTTTTTTTTTTACTTTTTTTTTAAATTTATTTATTTATTTTTTCTTGTTGGTAATGTATGTTTTACAAAATTTGTCTTAGATAATGTCTCCCCCATTGTTCTTAAATATGAATAATTTACTGTTTCTGTTTATAGTTGTGCTCTAAAATTTTGTGTGTAATCATTTGTTAACTTTAAGTGTGATTAAAAATTTAGCATCTTTTTCATTTCTTACTTCCCATTATATGATATTATTGGTAGAATGTTTTAGATTTTTATGTTATTATTTGTTTGGGTTTTTCTTTAAAATAGGTTGGCAATCCATAAAATTGATATATTTTACCTCTTTTTCTGTTACCTTATTAAGTATAGTGTTATATACCATTCCTTCCATTGTATGAGATGGAATTGAATTTCCTTTTATTTTTTTTATTATTTCATAATTTAGTATTGTTTGTTAAAGTTACAGTTTATTTCATGTTTTAGGAGGAACTTGCATTTGTGCTTGAAATGTTGGGTGTTTATGAAGAAGCCTTGGTGCAGTATGATGAACTTGACGCACTATTTACGCAGTTTATTGTCAATTCCAATCTCGGTGGTAAGAATCAATTCAACTGAAAACTATTAATATTTAATGTAACTTTATTTAATAGTTTATTAAAATATAAGTATTTGTAACTGTGTTTATTTAAGATTATTCTTCCTATTGGTGGGAGCCTTTATCCCTGTTTGTTTTCTTTAATCCAAAAAATCACTTTAGGTGAGATAATTTTGAATTTTTATTATTGTTTATATTTTAAGATAATTATTGTCATATTATACCATTGATAAATATTATCATTTATTTGGATTAATAATTGAAAGTGGCAGGGACTAAATAAATAAACCAAAGTTGATAAGGCCTATAAATGGAACTGCACTAGACCAGACTTCTGGAGGGCACAGAATGTATTTTTTGTATAAATGAGAAAGGTGATATCAAGATTGAGCTGAGCCACTTGACTTAGGCATTAATCTAGTCTGGTCAGAGTGGAAGCAGCCTAGGTTTATCCATTATCACAATATCTATCCTCTGATATATTCACATCATGTACTGCCGATCAACAGTCTTGATGATAGCTTAACTTAATGATAACTTAAAGTTGATCTGGTATGTCATTCTGAAATATGCTTGTAACTAATGAAAAGCCTATGAATTTTTTCTTATATCTACCGATCTTTAATTTATGGAGTATTGGTACTGGTAGGAGGAACTAGTCTGGAAAATGTGCCTTGTGGTCCTTTTTGCTAATCCCTAATGGCTACCCAAAGGTTGCTGCCGTATATTAACCAGAGTGGGAGTGTCAAGATTCATTTCCCGGGGTCTTCAAGAAATTAATATTAACTGATCAAGGTGGGAATCGAACCCACAACATTCAGAACCAGGCACTCTAGAACTCATGCCCCAGTGTGTTCAGCCATCATGTCGTCTTATGGGTAACTGATAAAAATCGCATTCTGAATCTTGTAGCAACAGTACCAAAAGCCATTCTAGCTCATTTTGCTTCTGGAAATGTAACTGGTTTGAAAAGTTGTTTTAACATCTTTAGTTAGATTGACTCATTAAGACATATACGCTGAACTCATATATAAGCTGATATGTAATTAGGCTGAGGTGGCGGTGGACTTATATATGAGTCAAGAGCCTATCTCTTTCCCGTTCCCCGGGGAGTTCAGAGACTGATTCTGCTTTCGAACTATCTCACGACCATTCCATGAGGAAGTAGGTATTTTTTCTGTGACTGGAGATTATGGGTATTTTTGAACGATTCCTAAAAAAAAAATGCATAAGTGGTCAGTAGAGGTGGTGAAAAGTATTCTCTCCTCAAGGACACTCCACTCTTTCCTCTCATCGTCCGTGTTAAGTTAAGTTACATTAAATACTATATATTTAGTGTGCTATCTCAGGTTATTTTATATTTTAAAAAATAAATATCAGATAAACAAGACAAAAACAATAAATGACATCTTATATGAAGAATGAGCATTCAGTTGGTTTATTCTTGTTAAATGGTTTATTATTGAGATTTTAAGAATCTCTTTTTATTGCTCTAAACTCATTATGATGTCTTTAAACAGAAACGCCTGCTTGGCTCACCCAGTTCCAAACACCTTTAGAATCTTGGCAAGGCCTGAGTTTAACTTCTGGAGTGAATTTAAAGGAAAGGGCGAGAATAGAAAACAATAGCTGCTCTCTACTTCAATTCAGAAACTACCTGTTCTCGAGGCAATGCGCTATGCTGCTCTACTCCAACAAACCATCTGAAGTGAGAATAATTTTGTTTAAAATGTTAGTATTATTTAACTGATGATAAGAAGACTTATGATAGGAACCAGAAATTATTTCAAATAAAAGTAATTTGTCTTGCTTAAAAACATAGTTTCATTTGGTTTTATTTTGTTAATTTTTAAAGGTTGCTGAAAGGACGTTACCCTTCCTCCATAATTGCATTCGAGAACTTTATTTGCTTGAAGTGGCTTGCCCTGTTGGCTCAGTTCCCACTTGGGTTTTTCTCTCATCTGTTGAGATCTTACAAATATGCGATACCTACACAGACAGTGTACATGTTGAACAGTATTCTAGGTATACTGCTGGAATTTGGGCGTATGCTCGGCAAAAGGTAATTTGTTATTTATTATTGTTTTATTTTTCTAATCTGTTATTTTTAGTTTGTTTTTTTAATTACAACTAGTGCGAAAAATTTGCCCAGTATATTATTCAGTGATCAAATGACAAATTAATAAGAAAAGAAGCTAGTGCAACTTATTATATTCTTACTTTCTCACTCATTATAATCAACAAAGGAAACAAAAATTAATTTAAATTACTTTGTTTATAAATTTCAATAAGCTGTATTTTTGCTAATAATTGTCCGACTTAGATGATTTTTTCCCCCCTTTTGTATGGAAGATTCTCGCCATAATCTCTTTCTGCGATATGCTTTTCTCGATTCTGGAGACTAAATAATGCAATGCTGTCTCACAGGATTTGCCGGCTTGATAGGCAAATTGGCCATAGTATAGCGGTCTTTCTACGGACGTAGAGTCCCTAATGTGACTATCCATAATCTTTTCCAACGCCTTCAACAGAAAAGAAGTCAGACATATAGGTCTGTATGCTTTGGGATTGTCATAGAACTCTTTCCCAGGCTTAGATGTGCAAGTGCTAAACTACCCCTAAATAACTCCATGAGGTTTAACTACAGGTAAGTCCTTTTGTAGCAGGACTGGAAAATTCCCATCAGTACCAGCTGATTTGAACGGTGCAAAAGAATTAATTGCCCATTCAACTCTTCTATAATTCACAATTCTTTTAGCTTCAACCCTTCAACCCACTTGTCTTTACCACAGAAGTAGCTATCCATTGTGGGATTAACTGTGTACTCATCAAGCATTTGACAGCCAGGAAAATGAACACTCGCCAGAGCCTCCAGTGTATCCTCTCCAGAATAGGTGTTACCTCCTTCAACCGTGATCGTGCCAATGACCGAGCCATCTGTTTGCTTTGACAAGATTTTGTGGTCTCTGGACGTGGATGACATGTTATTAATGTCACTACAAAAGTTTCTCCATGCCTCCCTTTTTGCTTTATGTACAGCCTTATTATGCTCAGTTAGGACATTATAGGTATCACATCTGCCCGTACTCTTGGCAAAGTTTCCTAGTTGAGGCTCTTAGCTTGCCAAGTTGTCCTTTTCGTAGGAGAGATACCCTGCCGCCACTGTAATCCTCTCTCCATCCTGTTTTTGAGCTTTACTGTAATAATATATGTGGGGGGATAACTGGGTATACGTTTACAACCTTCCCTCTGTCGCTAAAATAGTTTGGTTATCTGTAGAATTAGCCATCCTTCCTTCCATAATTAGAATACATAGTGAAGTTTAATCCCTAACAAATATAAAATAAAGTATTAGATTAGATAAAATCATTGCTTGTGCACTAGTAAAAGTTAAATTCTACTCTATTTACTGATAAAAAATCATTCTCAGCGGCAGACACACTTAAGATCTCTTTAAGCAGTTCTAGTTTTACGAGATCACTGATCTATTTATTGCTATGGTAAAGTTTGCCATTATGATTTGCATATTAAGATAAATTGTTTTTGAAACTTTTTTGATCTAAAAATCTGTGTTGGAACAGAGCATAAAACTTTATTTACCTTATAATTTTACTTATTAGTTTATTTGAAAAAGTTTACTAATTTTCTTATAGCTCTCCGAACTTGGAAAACTATGTGGTCTTATGCCTGGACAGGTTCCATCTAGTGAACAACTACACCTCGCTGTTGAAATATTTTCAGGCCTCGGGGAAGCAAACACTAAACCGGTTGAAAAACTCAAGAGGGCTCTGTCAAACCATCAAGAATTCTACAAAATGTATTTGGTAATTATGTAAGACAAATTTTGGTATTGTTGATTTTGAGGACTCCTAATTCTTCTAAATTTATTTTTCCAGAATTTTATACTTTTAACATTATTCCCTTCTCTGAAAATTCATTTCCATGTGATGAAAGGTTTGTAATTGTGGCAATGGATAAGCTTATTCAAAGACTTAGCTGAAGAACATAGCAAACTAAGGCGAAATGCATTACTTACAACCTGAATTTCTTTTTTATTAATCTTTTTCAAGTGTTTAATATCTTAAGTTTTTTTTTTACTAAAAATAACTAATTTTACATAAGTTGAGAAATTAATATTGTAATTGAAATTATTTATGTACAATAGAATCATTCAAATTAATGGTTAGTTCATGAACATGCAATCTCATATTTATAAGCAGTCAATAGTCTAATACAATAAAAATATGAGGTGCAAAATTTGTTTTTTCATATAAGCGATAGTTGAGGCAGGAGATCTTGGAAACTAAGCAAGATAAGGAAACATTGTATATAATAAATCATATTGCAGATTTTATCAGCTTTAATTTTATAAAGAACGTTTTTGTCGATGCGATGGATAGTTTTCCTGATATAAGCAAAAACCTGAAAAATGTGACCTAGGCACCCCCCAACATCTGGCTGACCACCTAGTATGTTTATCTCCTTACTAGTCCAAAGAATGTCCCAAAGTCAAACATTGTGTCCTCGCCATTTCCTTCTATAATTATTCATTGACTGGACTACATGTAGTATATGGCTTTTTTGTACTAAAAGATGGACATGAGACTAAGTTTTAGTTTACGACACAACATTAGGGTCATTTTTTTTAAAATTTGCCTTGGTCTGGGCAATGGATTAATTCATTCTAGTTTGAGTAATGAGTTTCAAGTTATTTCACACAATGCAATGCGACAGCACTCTCTTATATTTTAAAAGCAATTTTATTTAATGGTTTAATCACTCCATTTTTTTCAGGAACTGTCTGAACTTGCAATGGGAACTTACAAACATATTGGTCGGGTGAGATGTGCCCGGAGCCTGGGTCAGGATCTGTCAGACTTCTACCGTGTCCTTGGAGATGATCAGACAGCTGCTAGTTTCTTACAGCATGCCTTGCTGTCTTATGACCAAGATGGCTGGACGAAATTGGCAGCGATTACCAGACTTCGGTTGGCATCATCTTACCTAGCGTTGGGGGACCTGCACAGGTACCTAGTACACCAGTAATTTATCAATTAACAACGAAATTATATTTGAAATTTCTTATCCTTTGATCAAATTTAATTTATGAATACAAATTAATGTTTTATTTTTTGCTCCTTAAACTTGTTCGTGTTGATAGGTATACAAAAATGTGCTTGTCAATAGCATGCTCCACCGAACTAGATATGCCGTTGAGAATGAAACATTATTCTGATGCTCTTAATACCATTTCTACTTCTAAGCCTGGTAATTTTTTTAATACATTTTTATATGTATATATCAAATATATTTTTAGAACCTAATTACAAGTCTGTCTATCTGTTCATAGATCCACCATGGTCATGCTGCCTTACAGATTGCTTTATCTTGACTGATGTTGATGTACAAGTCCACCAAGGAGGTATGAACGTATCTGCCACACTTGGGATAAAGTCACTCCTTCCTGTCGAGACTGTTAGTGATTCAGTTTCAATGGCTATTTCCCAGTATAAACATGAGAGTAAATCTTCTTCAAAACATAAAGAAGCCCTTGAAAATAGCAGAAGGTATAGGAAATTTTATATATATATAAAGGATATCTATAGAGAGGGAATTTCATTATTCTGAAATTCAGAAATTGTTAGTAACTTCAGAAATTCAAGAAATTTTTTTTTACTTTATTATTCTAATTTCCAATAGTAATAATAATTGTGGGTAAATGGTTTACTATCGTAAATAATGAAGAGAAGAATCGTTGGGGGTGATCAGTCAAATAAGAAGGCAAATATAAATGGTAATATTTATAATTTATTTTTGCCTTCTTATTTGACTGATCACCCCAACTATTCTTCTCTTTAATAATAATAATAATAAATGGAAAAATTAAATTTTAAAAGTAGGTACCCAATTTTTTTTCTTTTTCTTTACAATCCACCATCATGACTTTGTATACCTTTAAATCCTCTGCCAAATTGTTTTATGTGCTCTTGATTGTAGCTCTACGTAAAGTTTTCCCATTATTGACTCTAAACGTTGTGTTAATAGGTTCATTCTGCTTAGGGCTGTTTTTTAAATATATAAAATGTGAAAGTATCAATTTTTAACTCAAAAAGATTAATCTTATAACTAAGCAATTGCATGATTTGAAACAATAAGGAAGCCATAGTTATATGCTATAGAAATTATGTTTATGTTAAATGTCTACTAGTGAAATAACCTAAATCAAAGAATTTATTGAGGTAATTTTCATTGAAATTTCTAGTAATATATATATATATACATATATAAAGAAACTATGATTCATAATTTTTTTTTCTTGGACGATATCATTTTCGCAGAATCTCGTTGCGGACATTAAGCCTTTGCTAGTACAGTAATTATTCAAAGAATTTAATTATCAATTTTTCCAGTTCCCTACCTTTCCCCTCTCCCTATCTAAATACCATCATGAAAAATTGATGTTTGATATTTGGATCATACTCATATTTGGTTTGACATAAAATTTTGATTATTCAGTCTTTGTGTAGTATTGATTATTTTATCTTATTGGATTTTAGTATCTTTGAATTCTATCATATAAAAGCTAATAAATTTTAATTATATTTTAGGAAATCATTGGATAGCTCTAGTTCTTCAAATTTATATTTACTCAAAATACCAATGACTTTGAGGCACGATTACCAACAAGACAAAAGCTTAGCTGGGTCTTCACTCGAAGTAAAAAATACAAAACAAATAGTGAGGTGACTATAAAATTATTGTAAGATCAAATTTCTGTGACAACCATGTTTTTTTTTTTAACCCGAAAAATGTCACTTATAGGCGTCAAGATAGTCATGGAAAGTATAGGAAGATATCAAATATTGCGAAAGCGGATTTCACAAGATATTTATCTGCTAAGAAAGTGGTTTTGAAACCAGGTTTGAACAGTGTCCATCTTACATGCAAGGTATGATGTTTTGGTAGTGATAATTAGAAAATTAATCTTTAAATTATAATAATATATTATGACCAATAGATGGGGACTATCAATGGGGATTTAGATAGGATCGTTCAACTATTGATCAAATGTTCAAAATTTACGACAAATGGAGAAAAAATTAGATTACAACGGCGTTGTTCATCAGCTTTATGTATTTCGATTTCAAAAAGGCTTACGATTCTATTGACCGCCAGAAGCTGTATAATATTTTAATCGAACAGGGAATTCCAAAAGAAATAAGTAAATGTAGTTATAATGTGCCTGATGGAAGCTCTCAATAAAGTTAGAATTGGTAATTATTTATCTGAAAAGTTTGATGTTCGTGCAGTTTTAAAACAAGGTGATTCCCTTTCACCTGTCCTTTTTAATTTGACATTAGAACATGCCATTAGGGAGCTAATGCATACCGAAAAAGGGTTGAATCTGGATGGGATATCACCCATGCTTGGCTATGCTGATGATTTGGTCCTGTTAATACTAACTGTAATGAAAAAAAAATTTAATGAAAGCTGGTAAAGAACTATGGCTCGAAATAAACACAGATAAGACAAAATATATGGTTAACTGCAAAAGTAGCGATAATTCTGGTGATATCGATATCAAAGGTAATATATTTGGACACTGAAAGAAATTTAGGTATCTACGGTTTACGATTACTAGAAAAAAACAAATTAAAAAGATTATAAGGTTAGACCGAAGGTGGGAAATGCTTGTTATTTTTCTGTGACAAAGTTAGTTAGCTTGCGCTTCCTATCCCAGAACTTAAAAATTAGAATCTATAAAACCATTATCCTATCTATGGTTCTTTATGGATGTGAAACATGGCCGCTTACATCAAGGGATGAACAATGCCTTAAGGTTTTTGAAAATGAAGTATTGTGTAGAATATTTGGACCGAAGAAGGATGAGTTAACCGGAGAATTCAGACAGTTGTACAATGCTGAATTGGGTGAATTGTATCCGTTAATATAATTGAGGTGATTACATTGTGGCAAATTAAATGGGCTTGTGTAGTTTTTGGACTTAGTAAGGAAAGAATTCCTAAATATTTGTGTGCCGACTGGTAAACGTTCAAGGGGTAGACTGAAGTGAAAGTGGGAAGATTGTGTTAAGGCCGATCTGAAAGGATTGAGTTTGGAAGGCAACAGGTGGAGGGAGTTGTGTAGACTGTGGTTGATAGTGTCGGCATTGAACCTTCGGGTTCGCTAAGCCTTTTATTATTATTATAATATATTTGCTAATTGTTGTTATCTCACTAACAAACTCATGTGATACAGATCTTCAATAAGCACAAAAAATTAATATATTTTTATTAAAAAAGAGTTCAATATTAGTAATTATTTACTAGGTATGAAATGGAGAATCTTTGTTGAACATGAAATTTATGAGAATTATCATTACTCACAAAATCGCTCATAACTAAAGTTTAACCCACTTAAAAAATTTAGTTTAAACTTTAACTATTTGAAGCAATATTTCTTCTTTTAGTTTGTGGATATAACTAAATAATTGAAAATTATTATTGGATATTTTAGGAAAGTGAAGCTGGTCAGTATCGCCTTGGTCAGTGCTGTATTACTCTCATGGAAGGTTTCGAACTTCTGTCTCCTCCACTGCCGCAGAAAGTTATTTTTGAAGTTTCTCATATACAACCGGCAGTTTTACTAATTAACCATGGAGATATGCTTGCAGGTCTTGTCCAGGACGTTACGCTGAAGATTTGTTCCAATAGCTACAGTGTTGCTGAGGTTAGAACGATAATTTTTTGAAAAAATGTTTTAATAGTTCAAATATTTTGTTCATAGTAATCATAATTCAAAACTGCTGATTGATTGATGCACATAATTTTCACTTGTTTATCATTTAAACAAAAAAAAAATTCAAATGAATTTAATTTTTTTTGTTTTATAAATTATTCCAGGCAGTAAATTAAACTTTAATTTGTAATTTTTAATGATTTTATTAATTTAATTCATTGTAATTTTAAGGATACAAAGGTGAAATTGAAAGCAAGCATTGGCCTTGAATTAAAAGATGGTGATAAAGATTGGAGCCGTGTTTTAGAAGTAAAACTACCTGCAATAAAGCCTAATTCGAGCTTGGAGCTTCCGCTTAAGATGTATGCCGAGCTTCCGAATATCAAGGATTGTACAAATTTGGAACACAATGTAATTTTTGTTGTTAACTTAATACTAAATAGTTACGATTCATTACTATAGCTTATAATTAAAAATAATCACCTTTCAACGTTCTTAAACGATTGCCAACGCTATTAATTGTTAGAGACATTTAACTTTATTCTGAAGCACTTTAATTTTTTACCATTGTTTATTCATTGGTGATTGTAATAGAAATATTTCTTGGTATAAATAATCTTGATTAGGTCTCCTCCACTATAAACAACCAGAAATATATTCTATACTCCTTAAGTACTTGATTATCCTAAATTATCTTATTGGAGGAAGTTAGTCGACTGTTCTACTGTTTTTACTAGTGCCGATATTTCGACCCACATGCTTGGGTTGAAACATCGGCACTAATAAAAACTTTATGACTGCCTCCTGAATATTTATCACCCGTGCTAAATTATCTTATTATTTTATTTTAATGTCTTGACATATAAAATGAAATGAAAAATAGTTTTATTCTGAGACTGAAGTCACCTTAGAATAATAACAAAGTTGAAGAAATATGTTCATCAGTCTGGTATGTAGAAATAATACAAAGATTCAAAAAATAGTAAAAAAAAAAAATAATAATTAATATCAAAATATTTCAGTCACATCATATTACATAAAAACAGGTGGTATATCTTCCAGCTGAGAGAAAAGAGAATCACTTTATTATCATAAAAGGGTGCTGCCCAATTACATTGGGTTGCTAAAAACACAGCATACTAATTAATCAATACAGACAATTTTTAAAACTAATATACAATTATATAGAATTAACAATATGTATGAGCATAGTGTACAATATTTAAAAAAAAAAAAAAATATATATATATATGTATTATTATTTCTTTATATATATTTTTTTTCCTTTTTTTTAAATTTTCATATTTTTTTATTTTATTTTTTTTTTATTCATTTATTATCATTCTATACCCCTTTCTCTTCCTTCTCCCCCCTTATACATTTCTCCTACTCCTCATATTCTCTCCTCTCTCTTCCTTACCTAATTCATAAAATGCATTAAAATACATTAAGTACAGTGGACGTGTTCAATAAATATTAATATAAAAATATAATATGTCAAAAGTATAATTTTCTTTTGTTTGCATCATACCCTAGAAATTTTGTCTTCTAATCCAATGAAATACTACATAAAATATTGTTTTAGTTAAGAATATTTTTCTGATGCAACAATTAGAAATAATGACATATTTGGAACAAATCATGGAAATTTCTTTCTATGATTTCTCTGATTAATATTAGCTTCTTTTTTTTTTTTTTGTAAACTTATTTTTTAGACTAAATGTTATGTAATTTCTGTTTTACTTTGAATTCAGGTTATGGTGAAAAATGACTGGAGTGAAGAAGAACATGCAATCGGTCTTAACTTGAAGCCTGTCTTAAGTTCAAAGCTGAGTATGCAAACCTCAAAACATTCAAAATTTCTTCATGTTGCTGTAACAAGTGTGACAAGTCTATCAATTAAAAGCATCGTAATGACTCCTCTCTCGTCTAGTAATGTTCTTCTCATTCCTTTGAATCCCAGTATGGAAACTACAGTGAGTATATATATGTTTTAGGTAACAAACCCTACATAAACTAACCCTAATAAGTTTTAAGTATTTCTTTTCTTCAATTCAGAATTATTGATCAGTAATTAATAAATGAATTCCGCCACACGAATGACTGTAGTATCAACTTTATTAAATTAGTAAAGTTGTTAATAGTATAAAGCCATTAAAATGACAACCCCTGAAGATTCTTAGGTTGAGTACATGGTAAGGAAGTTCTTGTCCTATTAAAGGTACTGTTTCGCTGGCATAGTCCACGACAGCGACCGCTACCCCACGCTGCCAACCGCTGTTGGCGTAGCTATTTCGCTGAAACTGCTCAATGGGGTTGTTATAACCTGCCTATAACCTTCGAACATTTCGCTGTATCTTCGAAGATAAAAAGATGGACATAATATAATAATAAAAATGAACATCCTATAGTAATGAACATCTCTGACTACCGCTTTTTTATTTGAGTTGGAAAAAGAAGAGAAAATGTTGTTCATAAAGAGAAGGAATATCAGTATTTCGATGTGATGCTCATCATCAAAGTCCCTCTGATATTAGATATTATTAGTTTAAAAATTAATAGTAATTAATACATAATTGATTAATAATAAATATCATATATTTGTAATTAAATCCCAGCAGGCGATGTTTTTTAGTTTTATCAATAGTAATCAGTAAATCACCACTTTAATTAAAAAATACAAATCGATTTTTAAATGGGTAGATTTTAGTATTTACCTGACGATAAAATTTGTTAGATTCTTTAATTTATTTAATATCGTTTGGATTTAGTTATATTTGTATTTCGCTGTAAAATATTGCTGGTGGAATAAATAAATAAATAATCTTGTTACTTCTACCTTAAAAAAATAATTTACTATTGCATTGTTTCAGTTTTAAAGAATATTTGTTATATTTTGCCAGACTTGAAAGAAACATTTGAAAAAAACGTATCGACGGGACTGATATCATCAAAACAATACTCTGATATGATAACATAACCTACAACCGCCGAACCGCCAACAGCTCCACTGCTTCGAGAGGAGTCAGATAGGAGCAGCTTAAATATGACGTCATACCTAGACTGCCGAGCAGCGCCAGCGAAATAGGTTCTTTTCTATTCCACCAAAGCAGTGGTCAACCGCGAGCAGTCGCGGTCATGGACCGCGCCAGCGAAATAGTACCTTAAGAGTGCCCACTTCACTGTGGTTACCTTGTTAAAGGATTTCGTTCTGTATCTCTTGATTCTGCTTTTTAAGCTCAATTAGTAAATTTCCTTACTTATTAGGGCAGTTTGTATTATATTATATTGTATTATAGTATTGTTCCTCTTCAAGTTATGTTATCTCATGATTATTCTGGAATACAGTATTTGTGAACGAGAGATTAAAAAAACTCTATTTGCACTTAATACATGCTGATTTGACTCAATAAGTCAATGATTTGTTTAGTTACTGTTGGACAAAAGTATTTAAATATGTCTACTTTAGGTAAGGTGCCTAACTTTTAACATTGGTAAAGCGGGACACTATTGACTGGGGGAGGGGATGGTCCAAATTTGTTACAATAATTAATTTTAAATAATGGTAATCTGGTGCAAATCAGATGACATAGTATACTGAATTAAGGTTAAGGCCTATTTTTGAGAGGCAATAATTTGATGATGTATTTGACGTCAAATTTATGGTTTCAATAATAACAGTTTTTATGACTAAGATGTTATGTGCCACCAGTTTGTACACAATCAAAATGCTATGAAACGTGTTGAAGGTGACTAGATTTTTCTAATTGAAATTATCAATATATTTTTTTAAAAACGATACTTTATTAAAAAGATCATTTTCGGGTTGTTAATTAAGTCTAAACAATGGTGGTTGAATTCTAACAACTCATCAACAATGAGCATTTCTCGATAATCAGTTCTCAACAATTATTCAGTATTATTAAAGTTTTAACAAAACTAAATTATAAAATTAACAAAACTAATATAGAACTCATATTGTGGCGAAATAGCCACATGGCCACCGAAAACTGTATATTCTCTTCCTGTTCATCTGCCATTCCTTAGCTTGTTGTGAATTCTTTCCAAAATTTGGGACTATTTTAAAACGCCTTGGGACAAATTATTAAAAAGCGGGACTTTTGATCATCTTAACTTTAGGGTCTATAATTTTTAGGAATTTATTGATTTGTCTGTATTGTCCTCTGCTTTGATTTATAAAACCGTTTCTAATTTAACCAGATAAGGGAATGAGGTCAAGAAAAAAACATAATTAGCAAAAGATATTTAAAATAAACATATTTATATAGTTTACTCATTTTGAATTGGTTAATAATATATACTCCGTATGGCAACAATGCCAGGAACCACATATCACAGAAATTCGAGGCAAAATCAAGTATTCGTCTAGGTTGTAGCTTGAGCCTGCTTCTCTTCATAGTAGTCCTAGGTAAAGTGATAAAGAATGCTAAACTGAGAATGAGAGAGTTTCAGTTAGGACCCAAGAACTTACAACCCATAAGATTTTCTTTGTTAACTATTGCGGGTGACCTGGTCTTGCTGGCTTCCAATGACCGATACCTCCATTACAGCATAAAATTTCTTCAAGAGGAAATCGCTACGATAAAAATGAAAATTAACCCACCAAAGACCAAAGGTATGAGGATATGGAAGAAACCCCAGAGAATAATGAGGGTGATTAAAGCTAACGGAGAAAGACTAGAGCAGGTTGATATTTCAAATATCTAGGTGCTGATCGTAACGAAAGCGGCTACATTGATGAAGAAGTTTCACAGAGAATCGGTGCAGCTGGAAGAGTATTTAATTTGCTTCAAAGGGGTTTCTTGGGTAAAAGGGAAGTGACAAGAAAAACTAAAACGGTGGTCTATAAATCGATGTTCCTCCCTATTCTTTCCTACTCTTCCGAATCATGGACCCTCACCTCAAAACACACGAGTTGATCCAATCCATGGAAATGCGTTATCTATGTAAGTTGGAAGGAAGGACACGACGAGACTGAATACGGAACAGCATCATACGGACTAACCTCGGAGATAAACCGGCTGAGAGCATGCTGGAGGAGTGCAAACTAAGGTGGTTTGGGCACCTCCTTAGGATGGACCAGGAAGATGTATGAGACTCCGGTGGAGAGAAGAAGGCTAAGAGGAAGACCATGCATTTTCTGGGAGAAGAGTGTTAAGGAGGCGGGATGTGGACTGTAGTAGAAAAGAGTTCGTCCAAGAACGAGATATCTGGTCCACACTCTACAAATCGTAATCCCATACTGTGCAAGCGGTAAAGGGGATAAAATGATTATGATTATGTAAATCGCATACAATTGTAAATTTTTATATCTTAATTTCATTCTTTTTAAATTTTCTTATGATGTATTAATTAGTAAATTTATTTTCTAATATAGACTCTTACACCAGAAAGAAAAATATTTTTTATGTGGAAAATGGAAGTAGAGAACATCACTGAGCATTCGCCATTCAAGACTGAGTTGACTCTGCATTACAACCCTACATCTGGTGATACTACCTCCAAGAAAGATTATATTTACAAATGCACCTTTGACATAGTTAATTACAAGGTAATTAATTTTTAATTCTGTTAAATATTAGTAAGTTGGATTACTTTGACTATTAATTTGGTGGTGTTATGTATGCCAGTCTATTTTGAATTTAATGGTAAGCGAAGGAGGCTTGGTGAGTGTGTGCAAGCAATCCTCTGATTGAGCCCAAGCTTAGAGCTCCAATTGTAATAGTTTGAGCTCAGTTCTTACCATACTGCCTTCTAATAAATACTAAAAATGTTCGTTAATATCAAGCTTGCAAATTGCTAAACGAAGATTGTTCGTCCTGAACTAAACAGACAATGAATTGCCTTCGATATACTTACACTACTTGGAAAATAGATATTTTCTTATATGTTCGATTACTGTTAACCACTCACATATAACACAATCCACTCACATTCATAAATGTTTACTAGTATTTGTTAGGGATTAAGTTTCAAATAGTGTTAGTATATCAAAGGCAATTTGTTGTTTTTTAAGTTCAATATATCATAACGATAAACTATTTTTTTTTTTATGAATATTTGTTCATGAATTTTTAATCTTTACAAATTCTTCATTGTGCTTTCAAGTATTTTACAGACTATCCTGCAATTAATATGATTATATTTTTGATTGATTAGACTATTTACCTCCTGGAATGTCGAGTGGAACCTATCCGAGGTTCTGAGTTCTGTCGAGTGAGCACTGTTTGTCAGCTGAAGCTTAAGGTGACAAAAGTGAATAAGGAATCCACTGTTGCAGATCCTGATTGTAATAGCCTTATGTACGAGGTACTGACGGAGCACAACATGTGGGCAGCCTGTGGTCGTACTGCAGGTATATTCAATCATTTATTTGGATTTTTCTAAGTAATTATTTTATATATTAAAATGTATTTATGTCAGTTCTGGGTGTTAAAACTATGAAATAGACTATATCTTATGTACAAAAGATGTTGATCTTGTAAAATGAAGAAAATGACATCTGTTAAGTTAATCAGTATACATTCCTCATCTATCATTTAAACAAGGAAAAAGAAATTTTTTGTTTTAATTTTTTATTTTATTATGTCTCTTTAATATCTTTAACGCCACTGACGTCAAACATAAATTATCTAGGTTACACTGTTAACCTTTATTTCTGCATGTTGGGATTGGGATAGATCGGTGGTAGAACACTGACTACTAATGCTCCAGGTTTGAGTCCAGCTGAAAGCAGATAAATTATTTATTCTGTTTTAATGGCCGAGAACCAATGCTGGGATTAGGAGACCCTCCTGGAACAAACCCAATCTCTATACAGTGGGTACCCTTAATTAAATAATTAATTAAGAGGGAAAACCTGGCAGTTGAGCATGATCTCGGTTAAATCATTTTCTTGCACAACCGTTGACCAAGAAAAAGTACTTCCTCACAAAGTACTGAAATCATAGCGGCCGAGCAACCTGATAGCAAAGTTACAGACAACAAAATAATTACGAGTTTGTGTCCCATTGCTGGGTGTCTTTGAAATTAATCCCTTGCCCTCACTCCCTATCCCGGGAAAACCTCTGTATAGCCTGGAAGGGAAGATCATAAAAAAAAAAAAGTGCTGAACTCATGATCCTTGATGAGTTGCAGTGGTACAGGTTTTTTTTATTGGTCTACATCTAGTGGAAATTTTTAAAATAAAAAATAAATAGATCTAGATACATGCGTTTACAAGATTGTAATTTACCCCACTTCACAACCATTATATTACTAATAATTACATTAGTTTGAGATGTGTATAAAATTAGATGAAATTGATACTACGTTATTTATACTATACAAGGCTATCTCCCCACTTGCATCCATCTTTACGCCAAATCGAATGAGCTGTAAACCAAAGTAGTGGTGAGATTAATATTCGAAGATTTTATATCTTTTAAATCATGGTCATTTTCACACCCATTCCTAACTTTCTTCCAACTTTTTGCCAAATTGAACAAGCTGTTTTGGAAAGATAGGTATAGTAAGGAAGTGCATTTGCGTACATTGAAAATTTCATCAAAATCAGATTAACAGTTGTAGATGATATGCCTGTCTCATGAATGTGAGACTGTCACCAACAGATACTTAACCAAATTTGCAGTTGAAATTGGTTATGTTTTGAGGCCAATAACTCTTACAGCTCTTCAATTTGTTTTCCTAAATAAAATAAAATTATGAAGAGAAGAATAGTTAGGGTGTTCAGTCAAAAGGAAGGCAAAAATAAATTATAATATTTATTTTTTACATATGCCGACGTTTCGACCTGAAGTTCAGGCCTTCATCAGGGCTTTCTCCTTAAGTGTTGAAAAAAAAAAAAAAAAAATTATATATATCGATGGTTAAACATATGGTAAATTAAGAAATTAAGATGGTACTGGTGGCAGTCAAGAAATACAAATAAAATAGTTTAAAAATATATATAGATTTTTCTTTTTTACCCAAAGTATTTTTTTTACATTTTTCTGCTGTTATTTGTTGAGGGTCACTCCTAACTAATGTACTGCTTTGTTCATTGGATTTTGATCCTCTTGGATAATAATTGTCAACATTCAAAAACTAATGAATGGGCTGTTAGTCGATAATGTGTATATACATTTTTTTTTCTCATTATAATTGTTTCTTTTTCAACTTATCATCCTATGATTTTAAAGGACTATTGCTACTCTCTATTATATTGAGACAGCCCTTATTTTTGTCAAGTATAAAAAAATATGATAAATCTGCAGTGATAACTATTGAAGGAAGTTAGTCGACTGTTCTACATATCATGGGTGATAAATAGTCAGTACGCAGTCATTGTGTATAGTTTTTATTGGTGCCAACATTTCAATCCAAGCATGTGCCAGTGCAGTACTTGAATAACTTCAGTTTACACAATGACTGTGTCCTGACTATTTATCGATGCAGTAATAACGATACTGCCAACTTAATAAAAGTTAATTTTGAAACATTTTAAAAAAAATTAATTTTGTTTTAATGAATTGTATGATATGAACCATCCAACAGTTAAATGTTTTAGCTATTATTAATGATGTTTTCAGGTGTATTGAACTTGACTGATATGGACGAACAAACTGTATTGTTGGATGTGATGCCTCTTGTCAATGGTTATTTACCTCTTCCTTCTGTTAGGTTGTCCAAATATATTCCTGCTGGTGCAAAGTCTTCTTCAGGTAATAATTTATTTTTAACATAAGTTCTGTATTATTAATTTAAACTTAAAATAAAAAAAAAAAATTAAATTCATGTATTCAAACTAAAAACTAAACTAATGTTAGTTTTTCAATGACCTATAGTAACTAAAAAAATCTTGATCATTATTAGATTGTTTCAAAAAGTTCCAGTTCAATTCTAGTGATGCATTAACTTATAATTTTTATAAACAGGATGTTTAAATTATATAAACCAAATTATTTCATGTATTTACATTTAGTCTTAGAGAAATGTATATGCTATCTTGTAAATAATCAGTAATATTCAATGTGAAACAGAAATGTTCTTGTGAAAATCTACTCATCACAACTATTACATTGAAAGCTTAAGATTAAGAAAAAGGATCTGTCATGTGCCTTGGAATATAAGTAGTATATAAGTCTGATGGGTGAGAGTGAGTATGGGATATGCTTTAAAATTCATAGTATTTTATTTCATAGTAAAGGAAGAAAATTAGAAAATATTGATAGTATTAGGCTAGGAATGTTATAGGAACGATTTTTGGTTGATGGATGAAATTTTATTTGTTTCATATTTGGAAGAAGTGCAGGAATCGGTGGTATAATTTTTATGAGATGATTTAAAGTTATTACAATTCCTATATTTTATTTTTTTATACAACTGCAGTCTGTTCTCATCAGTTCTTTGACCTTTGAAATCATGAAGTTTTTTTTTTCACTTGGATGGTGGGAAAGATAGATATATTTAGTTGGTAACAAGAACTTGAGATGAAATTGATTGAAAAAAAAAATTATTTGAAACACTAAAGATTTAGATTGTTGTGAGGCTAATGAAAATTGGCAGATTGAGATGGCAGGACACATTCTCCGCATGTCTGAACAAAATGTGCTAAGGAAGTTGATAGATGAGCAGATCTTCACCACAAAGCGGGTAGGCAGACCGAGACTCAGATGGGCTGATGGAGTGGAAGCCGACACCCGAAGTATCCTTGGTGTCCACAACTGGAAGGCAGCAGCACTACTTGGAGAGGACTGGCGGTTGAAATTTCGGGAGGCCTTGACTCTGCAGGAGTTGTAGAGCCATTCATGATGATGATGAAAGATTTAAATAGAAGATTCGATTTATGAATGTCTAGCCATGTTTGTTGAAACTGTATGAAAATGAAAAATGGGATAAAATTTCACTATAAAATTATGTTTGGAGAATTCAACTAGTCATATAATTCTTATTATAAATTTGTCTCAAATTTGCAAAGTATTATTAATATTCATTGTTATTTCATTTTTAAAAAAATTACTGTAGCGGAAGCTATTTTTTTAATCATTATAATATAATTTTGGTTTATTATTTTCAATAATGAAACATTGTGATCGACCAAAAAATTCAAATACATAACCCCCTCTTAAAATTTGAGGTTTCACGTTTCAAGATGCGTAGAATTCGAAAAACGAATAAAAATTTTACGCCGTCCGCGCATTTTCTCCGAAACTATTGGACCGATTTTTTTCAAATTTTGATATATAATCAGAGGTCACCCGAGGTTGATCCTCCTTAATCGACATTACTCTCCGCCTTTAATTTTCAAAATGGCGGCCGAAAAACCTGCGTTGCTATAGACTGTAGCTCCTAAACGAATGTACAGATTTCAATGAAACTTCGCTAAAGTCATTTTCTCGACGCCCTTTAAATTTATCTATATAACATACTTCAACGAAAAGAAGCTGGAAAAAAAGTTACGAGGGATGTTAAAATTAAATTCCGAATAACTCGAAAAGTTTTTACTTTTTTGTGGTTATTGTATATGGTTTTTTAAAAGTTTATGAAATTTCCTTTAAAAAATCCTTAAAATCGGGCAATTAGGAGCAAAGATATGGTCTCTGATTTGTTTTTATGTGTTTTTCTCCAAATGTTATATCCTTGGTTTGGTTTTTAAATTTTAAATGTGTTACTGAAATAATGCTATTTTTTTTTTTAGCATATTTCTAATGATTAAAGAAAAACAGTTTAGTCCAATAATTGGAATCACCTTTTGTTTTTTTTTTCTTTGTAACTCGGAAGGTAATGTTACTTTAGATGTATAATTGTTTGGAGATAATAAACCATTGTGAAATCATTTGCAGCGTTTTTTTTTTATAAAGCTAATTTTTTAAATAATTAAAAATTATTTTATATTGTTTATTTATATAAGTATTGACCTTGATTTTTTTCCTCAGGTCGCAGTGAGGGTCATCCGAGGTTAGAACCCTTCAGCGCCGGACAGGTCTACAATTTGAGCAAGAGCTCGCAAGTGCACGTGATATCGGCCGCTTCGCCGCAGGACCCCTAGCACTAGACTGTGTCCCCTTGCCTCAAGTCTACTTGGCTATAGCTAAGTTCACTTCACTGTTAACAGCTTTATGTGCAGCTTCTTTATATATTACTGCACTGCTTCAGCACTGATGTGTTGGCTTTGGTGAAACTCTTATATTTATATGAGAACGTACGTATGCTGCCACGTGTTACTCGTACGCTTTAAAAAATATTGGCCACAGAGGAACAAAAATGCATTTCAAACACAATCAGATTGAAGCTTTCTCTGAGGTTTTCTCGATTCCAATTACAAAATGGATATTTAAATGCATTTTAATCGTTGTACACACTAGAAATCGTCCTTATTAAGAAAAAATTAATTAGTGCCATTATAAACGTCCTACAATAACTAAGGACCATTATACTAAGCATCGTTTAAATCGAATAAAGTCCTTAATTATTTAGTATATTGTAGAAATAAATTATTAAAGTGGGGTGTGTTTGCTCACTTGTCCATATGACAATGTATATTGTAAATATTTATTAAAAGGTTTTAAAATTTATTTAATATCTTATGTCAATATGTGATGTATATAGTTATTTGAAATAGATTCTATGAGTTTATGGCCTCAAAACTATTGACTGGATGCAATTTTTAACTAGTCATAAAAACAATCTTTTATATATACATATATAGATATATATAAAATAAATATTTATATATTTCAAAATATAAACTTGTAGTTCTTATAATCTCTTAATTATAGTCATTAAACGATTAACTCATTACAAATACTCAGGGCAAAGTGAAAAGTTAAAGGGGCTATTTATCTAAAAAAAAATTCTTTATATATAATTTTTTATCTCTTGAATTCTGGGTATAGAACCATGATGTTTGGCACCATAATCATCTTCTTTTAAAAAAAAATCAAACTAACCGCTTAAAAAGTTATTTAACTGTAGTTGCAAGTTTTAATTTAATAGCGAATAAAGCATTTATTTGAAAACCTGCACAACTTTTTGTGAGGTGTTTTCAAACAACAAATTTTAGAACATCCTTTTAACTTTTATAAATTGATTTCTTTATAAAATTTAAAATTCTTTTCTCCCATTTGTCAAACATAAATATAATTTTACGATAAATAAATAAGTAAATCACCACAAATGTGGCAAATGATATTTGAGTGTTATATTCCATGTATTATTTAATTAACAACTGTCATAAATAAATATAAAAAGGAAATAATATAAGCTCATGTCTAAATAAATGTTCAGCTTTTCTTTAGACAGTATTCATATTATGGAACATTTAAATTCATTTTTAAGTTTAGTTTTATACCAAAAAATCATTTTTATTTCTACCTAATGAAGTGAGATTTTGATTTATCTGTTAAATACTGTTATGTGTTGATAACTGTTAAGATATTTTTTTCTTTAAATTATATTACAGTTGCCTTTTCTTATTGTTTATTGTCAGAAATGACTTAAAACAGACTAAGGTTGTTCAGTATCAGTTAGTTAGATAATTACATATTAATCTATAAAGATTTTTTAAAGACAAACAAAGGAATATGGCAGATTTTATTAAGGAAAAAATCATTTATTATTATAAATCCACCCAAAAATTAAAAAATAATTTTTCTATACGATACTTCATCAGACTTTTGTTACTTTAATTGCTAGAGGGAACTAAAATGAATCGCACTTTAGCAAGAGCAGAAAAAACATAATTATAAGATAAAAGTTCTATAGAATACTTATAGATAATGTTTCTGGTTAATTTATTATTTTGCTGCCATATAACAAAGAATAAGGTCTTTAAGTGTGAGAAAGTACACTTTCCTTCAAATTAATATTTTGCGATTTTTAATGAGAAAAGAAAATTCTGTGAATGCTTCATAAGGGTCTCTGCTTTACTAAGAACTATGATTTTGCAAACTTATTCGTTACATGATCGAATTCCGATCAAGAGATTGTTAATTGTATTTTCAAATAACTTATTTTTCACATTTATCCTAAGTTATTGACAGATTTATTGCGAACCAAAATGTTCGATGTGACATACAATTCTCTTTTTCCATCCGCGATGTTATATAACCAACTATCATGAGAGAAATTTTAAGTTTGGAAACCTTAGAAAGATTTTGAGTTTTTTCGTTTTTTAAATTTCTTTCTTAAGCAACATGAGCTGTATCTTCTTTTGCATTGGTTTGAACGATATTGTTTTTTCATTTAATATTGTTTAAGTTCATTAATTTAGTTTATCTGGTACTTTTATAGTTAGGAGTTCTTTTGTATCATTTTATTTCACAAAAGCAGTAATTGTGGTTATGTAATTTTATATATAATCCTTTTTTGATATTAAATAATGTATTTACATTTGTTATTATCATCTTTTAATACTTATTATATTTAATGAATCTTACTGATATAATATTATTTATCTGTTGAAAATGACTTCAAATAATGCAGAATATGTTTATATTAAACAATTACCTTGTACTGTTGTCAGTATGTTTGATACGTATTTAGTTCATATGGTCTTTGCATTTGCTTAATAATTTATATATGTTTTGGGGAAAAGATTTTATTTGTTAAAAAAAGGAACGGCTAAACAAGATTTAATTGTTTAAATTTAATTTATCGATCTAAAGTCAAAACTCGGTAAGTCTAGATCGAAGATTGATAAATTTTATTTTGTTTTCTATTTTATTATTTGAATTTTTTTTTAGTTAACATTCTTTGAAAATTTCATTTTTCAATGAGTTTTAAATTATTTGATTAAATTGAAAAATGTATACTTTATTTGATAGTACAAAATTTCACTTTTATAATTTTTTCATGAATTTATTTAAGAACTATTTTCTTGTTCCACCCGTAACTTCAGTTATTTCAATGAAAATACTAGAACCTTTTATTAATAAGTTTATGTATCGGAATAAAATTTAGATTTCTGGTTTACAAAACAGATAAAAAAATATTAATATTAATTGTGATCATCCAACCTGCTTATCTCGCTCTCTTTTAAGTGTTTGTATCTCCCTTTTTCCCTGCTACTGTATTTTGATCAATTATATTTTTTATACTTATTTTTTGTTAGTATAAGGTTAATAATAATCAATGCTTTATGGTGTTCTCCTTCCAATTCATATTAGTTTCACCTCTGTTGTATTATCTTTTATTTACAAATACTGGACTTGTTTGAATTTATCTACTTTTGTATAACTAATTTATGTAGGTTCAGTATTTTTGAAGTAGAAATTTGTAATTTTGTTTTCTTAGTTATTCAATAATTTTTTTAAATGGCTCCACCATTTAATATCGGACTCTTGGGTGTTGTGATTAAAAAAATATTTTTAATGAAATCCAATTTGTTTATTTTATGAAATTTTCATAACTTTTGGTTTGAAACTAAACAAATTTGAAATTTTTTATAAAATGTTTCAGAGTCGAAACGTTCTTGGTATTAGTATATTTCATCAATTTTTAATGAGTTGTGAATGATTGTTTTTTTTTTATACTTGATAATGTAGTAGCGTATGTTGGTTTATAGGTTGAATTGCAGTTGATTATTTATTAAAATACGGTTGTATCATTAGTCGCTTTGAAAGGATTGTTTGAATATATTAGTGGCATAGCTGTCGCATTGGTTGTAGCTGCCTAGGACAAGAGATTTACTCCCTTTTACACATTTACTCTTCCACTGATAGATTGGAAATTTGATAAACATCATACATTAACTTTCAAAATTGTGATTTGACATAGTCACTTATTAGTGAGAAATATTTATTGTCTTATTTTATTTATTAAAAAATATCAATCAATCCAACTTGTGGGATTGGTAATTTTTGTAGTTCGCCAGCTGTAATTTTTGTCCTCTTCCATGCGACAATTGTGATTAGTAGAATATATACTTATTTTTATCAAGAAATGTACATCAAATTAACATTTTTCAACATAATGAAACACCATAAATTCTATCTTTAAGGTTACCTGTAAGCTAACTACTGCTGTTTTATTGTTAAAATATTATAAAGTCGTGTTGTCAAAATAAATATTTTTTTTATTCTCATAACCAATGGTTGTGTACAAGAAAGAAACTGGAATAAGTTGTTAATTATATTTTGATTGTATCGTAATTTCGTGTTCGCATGTCAAACTTTGTTCTCTAAGATTCAGTAGCAGCTGATAGCATAGGTTTCTATATAATAAAAAGAGATTTATTAAAAGTTTAGTAATTTCTTAGGGAGAAAGAAATGTATTTTTTTAAATATATGAACTATTACTGAATGGCCCTTAGCCCTTAGTTCCTTCCTTAAAAATCTCTCCTGTCTAATTATTCAATGTATAATACTTCTTTTGAAATTTTTATGAAACCATGTCTTTCACATGTTTCTAAATTTAATTAAATATTATGTTGAATAATCTTAAAATTATGTTATACTTTTTTCAAACATTCTGTTCAAGTTATTTGTTTCACTGCTGGAACTAAATTTGTTCATTGCTGTTGTATTCAGAAGTTGTGATGCTTTTATTTTATTTTTTGTTTTTTAATTTTTGCTCAATTCTATATAAGTTTTCTAACTATATATACAATGTTTCCTACACTAGTTGTCATTAACATAAGACAATATGTCTCTGTGGTATCTGTCATTACTTTCTATTATCTCTTTATATAATATATTTATGTATTTGTACATATATATATATATACATAAAAGTTTATGTTATTGTATTTTTGTTGATTGATATATTCTGATGTATATAGTTTCAATAATCAATGTAAATATTTATTCATTTTGTATAAAAATTGTTATTGGTATTAGTTATAGAATATGAGGCTGTGATAAAGCAATATTTGTTTGTTTCAAGGGAATTTCATTCCCGAGGTTCAATAATGTAATCAGAGGGTTTTAAGTAAAAGTTGTAAAAGAAAAGAAATAAAATAAAAAAAATTGTCATTTTCTTTTTCCTGTTAGCAAACCTTTAAATGAAGAAATTCAATTAAATCAACTGGAAGTTTGACTTGTCGAAGTG